AAGTATTTTGAGTTTTCGAAGACTGCTTGGTTTCCAAGGTGGCATTTTGCACATGCGTGATTCAGTTGTACAGGGGTGCAAAGATCATAACATTGCTTAAGATTCCAATGCAAAATTGACTGGTAGGTCAGTTCTTTGACCTACCAAGAACCTTACTTTCCCCTACTCTAAATACTGGGAGAGAGAACCATTGCTTCTTACCAGTACAGAAGGATCCTTATGCTAAGCTGGGTAGTCTGATCATGAGTTATTTTTTGTAACAGTAATGATACCTCATCTTTCTGTGTTGGAAATCTTAAATCTTGAACAAAGAATGGAAATGCATTCATTTAAGCGTGGTAATTACAGTGAATTATTTTTGTGTGCAGTTCCACTTATTTTAAGAAGTCATAACGTCTGACTCCATTCTGACCATGTGTGCATGACAATAAAATGTATTTGACTGCATTTGTGATCATATGACAATAAGACTTTATCCAGCTTTTCCGTACCTGTAGAGTTCTGCAGCAATACTAATGACTTTAAAGCAATGTGCTAGGACACTGTACTGTGTAAATAGCTTATATAGTTTGCTATATAAAGATAGAAAAACTTAATAATATTTGGAATTGATGATGGAAGACATTATTCCGTTACACTTGAGAGGCATAGAGAGCTTTTTTCCATTGAGGTTGCTGCTCTTGTATAGTATACAAAATACAGTAAAACGTATGCACTTAGACCGCAGACCTCTGTCGGATGTGTAATTGCTTCTCGCTGCACAAGTTTTGACAAACAAGCTGCTTCCCAGTAGTTTCTTCAGTAGCTAAGCCCGTTTCTTACCCTTTTCTCTCCATGCTGCGACATGAAAAATCACCTTTGGAGAGGGACTGTAAAACTTCAGTCTAGAGGGAAAGCTTTTATAGCTGTTTACAGTATTGGAATGGAAATACTTCAGTAACCTTTCTGAAAGTCGTTGGTTCTATAATTAGCCACACAGGAAAAACAAAATCCTCTTTCACGTATAGTAGAAACCATATAGATCAAGTAGCAAATGCCTAAGTTGTTTAGCAGCTTTTCCTCAAGTATACTGGTCACTGTAGTAGTTGGATATGTAGCTCTGAGTGGATAAGTACACGTCAACTTCAGTAATGAATGTTGAAATTTTTTATTAAAACTGCTGTTTCTTTGAGATGCCACTTATATAATTGCACTTGTTTTCTATCCAGATAGTATCTGCAGTGCAGTATTGCCATCAAAAGCATATTGTTCATAGAGATCTCAAGGTGAGTAGGAAAATGTGTGTGAAGTGTGTGTCAGCTTCTGTACCTGTGGGTGTGATCTTTAGTACTGATAAAATGTAGTGTATTTTAAGCTTTCTGATTTTTTTTTTTGCATGTGTTATAGCAAGTTTTGAGGAATGTTTACAGTATAGAGCGATTTCAAATAAAAGGAAGAGGATTTGTAAGGCTTTTAAATACAGACATTCAATGGCTGCTGAAAGATAGTCTCCCACCCGGTGATCAGAATCAAGTCTGATGCAGGTCAGTTTTAGCTGAGAGATCTTTAAAAAGGAAAAAAAAAAAAAAGTAGTACTTTAATAGAGGCATGACAAGTTTTGGTCTCGAACAGAATGAATTACCAGTTGTGAAGATGAAACTGAAATATGGCTTCTTTGTAGCTTGGCATGAGATGGTACATTTAAACTGTGCCTTTTATATTGTAGTGTTGCCACATAACTTGTTCAACATATAGCTTTGTAACTTAAAAATAAAAAAAAAAAACAAAAAACAAGACAAAACCCCGACAACAAGAACAAAAAAACCCACTTTACAAAAGTTTAAAGGTTATTTTTTTATAACTTTTTCCAAGAATGCCACATAAACTATGGATAGTGAGACAAGATCTATTGAGATGAAAACAAGATAAAAACGTAAGTTACAATAGCTCAGGATGCATTTCTGCGGAGAAAACAGATAGGTGGTAATAACTCAGTTTTCAGGTAGCATAACAGCTCCTATAGTCTGAAGCCATTGTACAGAAACAAAATTTTAAAACAGGGGATATGACAATGATAGACTAAAGCATACCTAAAGACCTTGCAAGGAAGAGAATGTTAACAGGTATTTAGCTTTTTGCCTTTTCAGAATGAGTAAAAATGGACAATAGCATTCTAACTGAAGTATCTTAAGTTCACCTTACAAACCATTCTTTCTCTTCCAGGCTGAAAATCTGTTGCTAGATGCAGATATGAACATTAAAATAGCTGACTTCGGTTTTAGCAATGAGTTTACAGTTGGAAATAAACTGGACACCTTTTGTGGCAGCCCACCATATGCTGCTCCAGAGCTCTTTCAAGGGAAGAAATACGATGGACCTGAAGTAGATGTTTGGAGTTTAGGTGTTATTCTGTATACTCTCGTGAGTGGATCTCTCCCTTTCGATGGACAGAACTTAAAGGTGTGGTTTCTGTAGAACATGTTGGGCACGTTTATCTAATGTTTTAGGTGTTTTGCTACTTACGACTTAATGTCTGTTCTTCTGTTACCAAGGAACTTAGAGAAAGAGTGCTAAGGGGAAAATACAGGATTCCTTTCTACATGTCCACAGACTGTGAAAACCTCCTCAAACGTTTCCTGGTGCTAAACCCAACAAAAAGAGGCACTCTAGAGGTAATGACACAAATAAGGTGAATCAGAAAGCTAGACTTAGTATTTTGCAAACTGTATTTTTGAGCTGTAACTTACTATTTTCATATTATTCCTGAATAGTTCATTTGGAGTGGGTTTGGGTGGGGCAGTTGTTGAGTAAAGCCTATGACTTTTTTTTTTTAAGATTTTGTTTACTGGGGTTACAAGACACCTGACTCCACAGTTATTTTCGAAATGTGACACTATGCCACGTATGTCATATAAATTTTCCTGATGGTTACCTTGTGGATTCCTGCATTAATGGATGATCCACCAGGATGTTTTCCACATTTTCAAATGTGAACTGCGAGTATTGGCTGCTAGGTTGTGATGTGGTTGCCTTTTGCCTGTGTTTTGTACCATCACGGAGGAGAAAGGCCAAAATGTACTGCCTTCCATGGACTTCCATAGTCAAGCCTGGACCTACTAGACTTGTCAGAGTTGTCACACTCTCCAGGTCTGTGTTAGGGGCTTTTAGCTTTCAGCTATGTGCTAGAATACAGCTGACTGGGAAGCAGCTTGCCTTGATGCGCATAGTTGATTCTCCTCATTGGAGCAAAACAAAACTTAGTAGGTGCTGGGGCCTGTTCTGGAAAAATAAAAATTAGAAAAGGCCTTAGTGTTTTGTAGATAGGGGAGTTCTTTCTGTGGCTGTTCTAAGTTTATTGTACTAACAGAACCCTTTCTTTTGTAGCAAATTATGAAGGACAGGTGGATCAATGCAGGGCATGAGGAGGATGAACTTAAACCTTTTGTTGAACCAGAACTAGACATCTCGGACCAGAAAAGAATAGGTAATGGAATGTTTTTCAGAACATGATACTGTTTTCATGATGTGAGTGGGTTGATTTTTTTTTTTCCCTCCACCACTCTGTATTTGTTTGCTGTTTGGAAAAAGTAACTAATCTTTTAATATTGATATTTCATCAGGCTTATGTTCTCACACTTAATCATTTTGTTTAATTCTTTAAATGTTCAGTTCTTGCTCTTGAACTTAAACACTCAGCCAGCCTAAACATCAGCATGTTTCTGTTGCTTACAGAATGTGTGTTTGTTTGTAGATATTATGGTAGGAATGGGATATTCTCAAGAAGAAATTCAAGAATCCCTTAGTAAAATGAAGTATGATGAAATCACAGCTACGTACTTACTGCTAGGAAGAAAATCATCAGAGGTAAGTGCCGTTCTTACAAATGCAAAGGAACAAAGGAATGAAAGTGTCCTTAGCAAAGTTAGAAGCAAAAAT